TACGACTACTACTACGACTACTACTTCTACTACTACTACTACTACTACTACTATTACGACTACTACTACTACTACTACTACTGCTGCTGCTACTACTACTACTACTACTACTACCAACAGGTCGCAGTGGAAACCGCCCAGGGGCACCCGGGAGCACGAGGGCCGCCAATTGAGCTTCCTGGGCCGCTTGAAGACCTGCGTGAGCCACTGGCGGAGTAGCGAGGGCCACCGGCGGAGCTGCAAGGGCCACAAGGTTTTGAGGCTACCGCTCCTACGGCCTGGAGACTTACGCTTCGCCGATCGTCATTTTCAGCGGGCCCGGCCCCGCACTCTACCAGAGTCTTTTTCTCAAGGGGTGAAAAACCACCCGGACCGGACAACTGGCGTTTACTAAAGGGCCCTGGGCGTTTACTAAACAGCCCTGTCCTGTTTGATTCCCTTTTTGGGTGCGTTCACTAAACGGCTTCGCGTGTCGGGGTGGTTTTTGTCGAGGTGGATGCTCTGCCCTCTATTTTCCTCCATGTGGACCTCGGGATGTAGGATGGACGGGCCTTCTTCTCTTCCCTTCCACCCGTCTCAACACACCGGAGATTGGGCCCTACGGGCGTCTGGGGGGCTCACGTGCTGACCGCCCGCGGCGTGCCCAGCTAGGCGCGCGGGGCGCAGGCGCGGATCAGGGTACAGTCGGACCGTTGAAAAAGGAACCTTTTTCGCTGGGGAGGGGCTCGGTGCTCCTTAATTTCTTTACAGCTTGTCTTAGGTTCTCCTTGGGCGTTCTATGCGAGATCGGAGCTTAACTTATGGAAACATGGAGCCTCGTTCCTTATTTGGGGTTCCTTCTGACAGCGTTTCGACTGTACCTGAAGTGTCAGGCTGCGGTGGCAGGAAAAAGAGGCGGACGAGGAGGAGGAGGAGGAGGAAGAGGAAGAGGAAACAGGACAAGGACGGTGAGGACGACCGAGGAGGACGGACGGAGGGGGGTACCAACCGAGGAGGACGCGACCACGCCGACGGCGACGACGATGGCGAGGGCGAGGGCGAAAACGGCGTCGGCGCCGGCAACGACGATGACGGCGAGGACGGCGACGAGGGCGAGAATGGCGGCGGCGACGGCGAGGACGGCGACGGCGACGGCGGCGGTGGCAGTGGCCCCCAGGGCGTCCGCGCGGACCGCGACTGCGTCGTGGTGGACCCCACCTGCGGCATGGGCACGCTGCTGCTGGCCGCGGCCCGCTGCTGGCCGCCGGGGGGGCCTGGGCAGCTGCGCCTCGCGCGGGCCTCGGCGCCGCCGCCTCCGCGGCCGCCGCTTCCACCGCCGCCGCTTCCGCGGCCGCCGCCGTTTCCGCGGCCGCCGCCGCGCGCAGAGGACGCGCCAATGCGGCGCCTCCCGCGCAGCGGGCGCCGCGCGGAGAGCGGCTCGCCGCCGCGGCGGCCGCCGAGGCCCCCGAGCGGAAGGCCGCCCCAGGCGGTGGCCGTGCGCCGTGCGCCGCGGCGGGCCGCGCTGCCGCAGCGGTGGCGGCGCCGGCCGCTCTGAGAGCGCGGAAGGCGCAGAAGGACTGAAACTTGCACGCTTGCCTGAGGTTATGTCGGGCGCGTCCCCACTACAGGGGGATCTTCGACGAGGAATAAAATATTTCAAAAATGCCCCAAAGAGGCCAACATATGTTAAAAAGTAGGCCCCAGACCAGTTTTGGATTATTTGTTTGATTATTTTTGGAGTCTTTTTCATTTTTCGTAGAAAATTCCCATGTCGGGGGACAGGCCCGACTTAAGCCTGGGGGCCACTCGGGCGGCGCAGGGCCAGGAAAAGTGGCCCTGCATCTCGCCCTGGCTTTCCCAGGATCGTGTTCTGAGGGACGGGGGCGACGTCGGGCTGGTATGGTGTATACTGACTGGTTTCCCCTTTTTTCCGGGGGAAGCGACACGTGTGTCCACCAGGACCAGGATCCCAGATACGCCAGGATCCGTTCTTTTTTCCCTTTGTGGGTGTCAGTGCGGGGCCGGAACCAGCGTCGCCGTATCGCGTTCGGCTCCTTCGGAACCGCGGCATGCCGATCACGGGGTGGGGGGCCTCGCGGCCACGGCCGGGCGCGGCTCGAGACGCCGCCCAGAACGCGCCCGGTGGATGGGCGTCCGCGCGAGGGGCGGGAGCGGCCCTCCGAGAGGTCCGGGGGGCCTCCCCTTCCTGCCTCCTCCTCATCCTCCAACTCCTCCTCCTCCTCCTCCTCCTCCTCCTCTTCCTCCGACTCCGACTCCGACTCCGACTCCGACTCCGACTCCTCCTCCTCCTCCTCCTCCTCGTCCTCCTCCTCCTCCTCCCTCCTCCTCCTCCTCATCGTCCTCCTCCTCCTCCTCCTCCTCCTCCTCCTCCTCCTCTCCGTAGCCACTTTGGCTCAAGATGCCTTGTTCCACAGGGGAACACGTGGATACCGCTAGTCCGCGGCTTGCTTTCAGTTGTGGGTCCGCATCGGCGCGCGGGGTGCGCAGATGGCGGGCGGCAATGGATCAGGCGGCGGGCGTGCAGCAGGGCGCCAGCGTGGCGAAGGTCAAGGCCCTGGAGGACACTTCCGCCAAGGCTGCTGCTGGGGCGGGCCAGGAGAACGCGCGGCCCTGGACCAAGGGGCCGAGCGAGGTCTAGAAGTGGCTGCGCAAGAAGAAGTGGCTCGAGGCGGAGTGCGACTGCTCGTTGGGCCACCGGGCGGAGGCGCTCGCGGACGTGGAGGCGCAGCTGCGGTCAGCCCGTGAGTCACGGGACCGCGCCAAGCCCACGGCAGCGCAGTTACGCGAAACCAACCTCCGTGCCGAGAAGGCGGCTGCCACGCTTGTCGCAGCGGAGACCGAGGAGCAGCGGTGCCAGGCAGCGCTGCAGGCGGCGCGCGCCGAGGTGCTGGAGGCCAAGCAGGCTGAGGAGGCGGCTCGAGCGTACCAGGTTGAGGTTCAGGCGCGCGTCGCTGCAGAGGGCCGAGCCGAGGAGTTGCCAACGACGTGGGCGTGTTCCGAGTGCAGCGCGTGCACCTCGCAGGACGTGTGGGAGCCAGCCTCGAGGAGCTTGGGCTGGCAGCGGGTCTCGCCAAGTTGGCGGCAGACCTGGAGCGGAAGTCTGCTGAGGAGGTGCCTGCAGCTCCTGGTGGTGGGCCACCTGCTGCTGGCGGGGGCGATGGGAGTGACGCAGCATCGCCAGGAGCACCAGGGCAGCCTGCAGATGCCCCAGGAACAGTGCCAGGAAGCGGTGCTGAACCAGCAGCACCTGCGACGGCCGTGGACGAGGAAGCCCTAGCCCTCACCGAGGAAGAGGAGGCATGGCTCGCAGGTGCTGCAGCAGCACCTGGCGGAGCCACCCAGCCAGACAAGCACGAGCGCTACGTCGAGGCGCTGCAGCAGGCGTACTCACGGCTGGCGAAGAGGCCGCGGCAAAGGTAACGCGCTCCTTTACGTGGTGATGGAAGGCCCAAGGACCGGGTTCCCGCCGTCCTTGTGGGCCCAGGAGGTCAGGCAGCAGCTGCAGGACCTCAACCTCGTGGTGCCGTGGAGAGCAAAGGATGAGGTTCGTGATGAAAGAGGTTATCCCGAGGTTATCCCCTGTGCGCGCGGGACTGGCGGTTCGATGCCCAGCCAGGCAGTATGGAATCGCGGAAATTAACCAGTTCAAGTTGCTGAGGCTACGGACACGGACGCGAGGCCCCCCGCGCCACAGGAGGGCATCGGTAATTGCACGGGTCCGACGTCCTGGCGCTGCAGCACCAGGGGCCTGCCCCTGTCGCTCCCTCGGAGGACCAGCAGTGGCGAACACGCCCTTGAGAGGGCTCGCTGCGCTGCTGACAAAGGCAGGGCATTGGCAGCTGCCGTGGCGCCGCGGGCGCGACAAGCATGGCGAGGAGAGGCACGTGGCCATCCTCAACTTCAACGCCTTAAGCAATTTCGACCAGTGCATGCAGGGGGCCCCCTTAGGGCCGAGCCTGGTCGGGCTGCTGGATTCGTCTCGGGTGCTGGCGGCGTGGGGCCCCAGGTGGTCTCCGCGGGGCCCGCTCCTGGGGTGCCGCCTGGCCCGAGGGTTTGGGGGTGAGTGCGGCTGTCCAGCACCCCGCGTTGTGGGGTGCTAGGTGCTCGCACTCACGCGGCGTCGGGTATCCTCGTCGCCTGGGGCCGTGCCTGTGCACGGCAGCGAGGCGAGACGGCGTGACCGTTCGCCTTCAGGCCGTGCGCGTCCTCCTCCTCCTCCTCCTCCTCCTCCTCCTCCTCCTCATCATCATCATCATCATCATCATCATCATCATCATCATCATCCCCCTCCCCGCCTCCTGCTCCCTACTCAGACTTCGCGGACGTGTTGGAGGACGTTTTTGCTCAAGCTCCGGCGGGAGGTGTTGGATCCTGGCCGCTGGGTTTTCAGTCCCCGCCGTGCAGGGTGCTGGAGGCCTGGCGGTTTCCTCCCCGCTTGCCCTTCGAGCCGCTTGCGCTGACGCGTGTCTAATATAATCCTCCCTCCTCCCTGCTCCCTCCAGGGAGGCCCCCCTTCTTTGGAGGAGCGGCACGTGAGAGAGGAAGGATTCCCAGAGGGCATGGTAGTAGCCTCTGAGAGACGTGGCGTTTCCTTTGAAGGCCCCCCCCTTCCCCCGCAACCCTCTTCGCGTCGCCAACGGCCATGCTCGCTCGACTGCTCGGCACAAAGAGGGGGGTGGTATGCCGGGTCGCTCCTGGGAGGAGGTGGAGGGGGGAGGTCGGGGACTTTGGGTGCGCGTTGGGGGGTTAGAGGAGTTGGAGGTTGGCTGGAGGTTCTGGAGGGACAGGAGCAGTATGAGGACGAGCAGTAAAAGGCTCAGGAGCGGGAGGAGATGCAGGAATAGGACGAGCGAGGGACTGGAGAGGAGAGAGGGGAGGACGAGGAAGGGGGGGATTAGAAGCAGGTTGAGTTTGAGATGTGAAGGGGGAGGGTAAGAGAGGATGAGGAGCATCAGCAACATCAGCAACAGCAGGAGTAGGAAACCTTTCTCCCCCTTACCTCTCCCCCTCCCCCCCCTCCCTCTCCACCTCTAACCCACCGTCATCATCATGCCTTCCCTCTCTTCTCCAAGCCTTCTCAATTGGAGCGGCGTTCTGCTCAGAAGAGCTTGGGACGTAAGGTCGCCTGCCTGATGAGTCCCCAGTTGCACCACATAGGCGAGAGAGGGATAGATGGGCTGGCGAGTAGGTAGGCAGACAGGCAGGCATGATCACTGTAGTGGCAATGAGCTGCGTGGTAAAAGGGGTAAAAACGTACGCCCGGCAGGTGGGTATCCAGGGTTGATGAGTTTTGTAGTCCAGTTGGGAAGGCAGGTAGGGTCGAATAGAGAAAGAGATAGAGAAAGGGAGGAGGACAACACCGAAAGAGGACCAGGAGAGAGTCGATGAACGCAGATGAAGCGTAATGGAGCACGGAGAGGTGGATGATGAACGGCGCGAGCGCACTTGGCTTGCTCTGTTGTTTGTTGCTGTTGTTCTCTCTGTCTCCCTCTCTCTCTCTCTCCCTCTATGCTTTTCTGCGCGGCGCACCAGTGCTACCGCCCCTGCTCTCCCAGCCAGCTCCGCGAGCAGCTGGCTCCTGCTTCGTCGCCCTCTTCTTGGGCCGTCGCGGGGGTTGCCCCGAGGTGGCGCCGCCGCTGTCCGGGGCGCCGTATCACGCCTGCCAGAGCGTGTGTACGGCCGGCGCCTCTCTGTCCGCGGGCGTACAGAGGGGGTGAGCCTCTTTGCTCTCCAGTCTGGACGCCCGAAATGGGTACGGAAAGAATGGGTACAGTGCCCAACAGCAGTTTCTGTTCGTTTTGAATCGGATTCGCTGTCCACGCCGCCGCGGCCTGTGTCCATTCGAGACAGAAGGCCGCCTGCCAAACAGCGGCGGCTGTCGGTTTGAGACAACATTTGTTGTTGGGCGTTGTACCCATTTTTTCCGTACCCATACCGGGCGTCCAAATCCAGTCGGGGTCCCCACAAACGGCGCATGAGGTGGAGGGTCGTCTCCCAACCCCTGCTCGCACCAGCGCAAGCTGCACCTCCAGCTACACTGGGTGGGCACAGTGGGGGCGAGCACCCCGCGCGTGCGCGCCCGCACGGACTGTCTGCTTCTTCTTCTTTGTTCTCTCTCCCTCTCTCTCTCTCTCGCGCGCCTGCTCCTCCTTCCCCCCCTCCTCTCCTGCCTCATGTGTTTGGTGATTCCTGGGGGGATGAAGCTTCCGAGCCTGATTGAGGCTTGTGTTTTGGACTATCCTTGAGACCACACGCGACGACCTCCTCCCTCGCTCTCCTAGAACTCTCCCTGCCCCTCTCGTCCTCCCACTCCTCCCCTTCTTTTCCCTCCCCCTCCTCCTTCCCCCCTTTGTTACCCTCTCCCTCTCCCCCTCCACCCCATCGTCGGCACCAAGGTGGGGCGAGAGCTGGAAGACTCCCAGTTCGAGCGCTGCCGCGAGAACTTCGCCGCCTGCGGCCTGGACTTTTCCGGCGCGCGCGCGAAGGGAGGAGGAACAGGGGAGGGAGGGAGGGAGGGAGGGAGGGAGGAGGAGAGAAGGAGGACCGAGGATCCAAGTTCGAGGAGGATTGACGCCTTTTCGTCGTCCCTCTCTCCTCCCGCCACCCCCAAAACAATTGCGGATGCATGTCTACTCCGCTCCTTGGGGGGTCATTCCGCTCATCGTGGTCCCCTTTGTTCCAGTACGGCTCCATGAGTTGGACCACCCTGCAGCGGCATTTGCCGCTGATGAGGGGGGTAGGATGGCTGCGTCCCCTGGAGGACTCTGATGCCAGGGGTGGACCTAAACGGTGTTTTGGCGATTTCGTGGGCCGTTTCGTTTCGAGATCGTTTTGCGTTAAAGGCGGATTGAAGACAAAACGAGGGAAAACGAAAACAACACGAAAACGAAAAACACCGTTTAGGTTCAGCCCTGTCTGATGCCACCAGCCCGAGCCCAAGGAGGGCGGAGCGAGGAGATTGGAGGAGGATCGAGGTTTCCGGACCTTCTTCTTGGCATCGCTCGGACGTGTGCAGTTTTCCTTCGGCGAGGACCATCGAGGAGCATCCTTGATCATTTGGCGAAAAACCGCGCACGAAACCGAAAAGAGCACAGGGAATGGACGTCCGAGCGATGGCGAGCCTTGGCTCTGCTCAAGCTTCCAGGGACCCGCGGAGGCTCGCGAGGCCTCTGGAGAGCCTTCCTGCGCACACGGGTGCCCTCCGGCGGCGGAGGAGGAGGAAGAGGTGGCGGCGGAGGAGGAGGAGGAGGAAGAGGAGGAGGAGGAGGAGGAGGAGGAGGAGATGATGATGATGATGATGATGATGATGATGATGAGGAGGAGGAGGAGGAGGAGGAGGAGGGAGGAGGAGGAGGAGGAGGAGGAGGAGAGGAGGAGGAGGAGGCGGCGGCGGCGGCGGCGGCGGCGGCGGCGGCGGCGGGCGGAGGAGGAGGAGGAGGAGGAGGAGGAGGAGGGAGGAGGAGGAGGAGGAGGAGGCAGCGGAGGAGTGGGAGGAGGAGGAAGAAGAGGAGGAGGAGGAGGCGGAGGAGGATGATGATGAGGAGGAGGAGGAGGAGGATCTGGGAAGGACGCCACGATCTTTTAGTGACCTGGGTCCCCCAGGATTCTGCCCCCTTGGCCAGGGAAGGCTCAAGTCGGGCATGTCCCCCTACAGGAGGAATATTCAAAAATAACAAAAAACACAGTCTTGGGACGATGTTTTGAGCATTCGGGCTATTTTTTTATTGGTTGTTTTTTTTTTTTTTAAAGTTCGTCCAAAATCGGCCTGCAGGGGGACACGCCCGACCTAAGGGAAGGCACGCCACGCGGTACGGCCAGAGGCCGTTCACCGAAGCGGTCGCAGCGCACTCGACGTGGCGCTCGTAGGGAGAAGAGGAGGACCACGAATACGACGATCACGACAACCACGGCGTGGGCGACGACGACGGCGGCGGCGACGTTTGCGGCGGAGATGGCGACGACGACAACGGCGACGACGGCGACGACAGCGACTGACGGTGACGATGGCGACGACAGCCACAACGGCGACGACGACCTCCGAAGGCCTGCAGGCGTTTCCAGAGTTCTCAGAGGGTCCCTGAATGTTTTGGAGGCCTCCAGACATTTCGAAATCCGATCAAGGTGGAGACACAATTTCATTGAAACAGTGTTTTTCGACGACGACGACGAGGACGAGGACGAGGACAAGAACGAAGACGAGTGCGACGACGACGATGACACGGAGACTAGGACGACGACGACAGTGACAACGACGACTACGACGACGTCGACGACAACCGACAACGACGACGACGATGCCGAGGAGGACGACAGCAGCGGAGTCGGCGGGGCTCTTTCCCCCAGAGCAGTTTCTCGCTCCGTGCCGGTGTTTCCAATGTCGCCCAGAGACCTCTCGGGGTGGAGGTCCCTGGAAGTTTTGTCTCTGCCTCAGCATCGCCCTTCCTTCGACTACACGCAAGAGCGACCCTTCGCCAGAGTGACCTTCGATGCGGGCCCACTGGGCCCCCCGATCGCTACCCGCGATGCGACAGCAGCGGCCTGCGCGCTTGGAATTGGCCCCTCGCGCCCCCGAAAGCTGCGCACCAGAGGCCACCCTTGCCACAGGGTCGCTCTTACAGTGGAGGCCCATGCCAAGAAACACCCTCCTTGCCTCTCTCCTCGAGGCCAGGGTATTGTGGAGTATGCGGTTTGCCATACCACTTCTTTCAATTTCGCACTCTCGTCTCGGCGCCGCGTACGTTTTTTCAAAAGCGTCATTCTCGCCTCGGCGCCGCGCACATTTTTGTTCGTTAATTGTGTGAGTGGAGAGGGATGCGGGCTCGTGCCTCGCGCGCTGCACGAGACACTCGGGCGCGTCCAGCCTTCGGCCTCATTCTCATCATCTCCTTCCTCTAGCTCCTCCTCACTGTTTCCTTTGGGGTGCCAGAGGGTGGTGGCGGTAATCGTGGTGGTGGACAAGGGGTGGCGGCGGTGCTTGGTGAGAACCAGGAGTGCGTGAAGTATGCGGTATGTTGTGCTCTTTCTTCGCTCTTATGTGTGTTCTTCTTCTCTCTAGTTTCCGTTCGTGTGTGTGTGTGTGTGTGGAGTCGTGTGCGTGCGTGCGTGTGTGTCTGTGTGTAGGAGGAAGACGGTGGGGTAGGAAGATCGTTTTTTTTTCGTAGCGTGACCGCTGCCGCGGCGGCGCCGCATTCTGACAGAGCGAGCAGTAGGCGGACCGGCTGGAAGCCTCGAAGGGCGCGCCCCCTTGCCCGAAGGCGCGGGGGCAGCGCTCCTTACTCTCGCAGAAAACTGGCATTGAGCCCAAAACTTAAGGCGGAGTAGGAAGGAGTGGAGCAGGAGTGAGGCAGGTGGCAAAGAGCAATGCTAAGAGAAGCGTCGTCCCTCTTTCTCCTTTTCCTCATCATCCTTCTTCTGACTTCCGACCTATTAGTGTCTACAGCCCCATCCCTTCATTCAACCTCCGTCCATTCCTCTCACCCCCGCCCCCTCCTGTTCAGCATATCTCTCCCCAGCCTCCCTCTATCCTTCCAGCCTCTCTCCATCCACTCTCCTTCAAGCCTCCCTCCTGCCAACCTCTGGCCTCCCTCCTTGCCTCCAGGCTTCCACCCAGCAGCCTGTCTCCAGCCACCCTCCATTCAACCTTCCTTCATCCCTCTATTCATTCAGCCTTCATCCAGCTATCCTCAGATCTCCGAACATTCTCCTTCCATCCACTCTCCTTCGAGCCCCCTCCTTGCCTCCAGGCTCACACAAACGGAAACGAATTGCAAACCCGCCTCAATAGAGAATGCTTGGAGGATTTGAGTTTTTTTCAGTTTTTCCATTTTTGGGTTTTTTTTTCCCAGCTCTCAATGGAATTCTTTTTGTGGCGGATCAAAAAGGAATTCAATTGTAGACCGAGAAGAAAACAAATAAAGTACAAAGCCGCCACAAAAGGAATCTAAGTGCAAATCCGTCTCAAAAGGAATTCAATTCTAAATTGAGAACAATAGGAATTCAATTGTAAACCCTTCACACGAGATAACTCATTGTAAACCCGGCACACAAGGAATTTGAGTGTAATGCAAATCCAAAATAAATTATTGGAGGGTTTCAGTTTTTCCATTTTTTTCAGTTTTCTCAGTTTCCCCCTGCTCCCAATAGAATTCTTCCTTTTGTGGCGCACCAACAGAAGGATCTGAATTGTAAACCGGCATCAAAAGGATTCCAATTGTAAATCCGCCACAAAAGGAATTTAATGGTAAATACGCCACTAAAGGAATTGAATTGTAAACCAACACGCAAAAGGAATTCAATTGTAAACCCGCCACAAAAGGAATCGAATTGTAAACCCGCCACAAAAGGAAATGAATTGCAAATCGCCTCACAAAGGGAATACTTTTGTAAACCCGCAACAAAGGAATTTAAGTGTAATGCACGTACCAATAGAATCTATTTGAAAACAATCAAAAAATTGAAACAAAAAACTAACAAAAAATTGAAATAACAACTGAAAAAAAAAAACTGAAATCTCCAGAACCCCCACAAGGAGAATTCTAATTGTAATCGCCACAAAAAGAATTTAATTGAAAACCCGCCGCAAAAGGAATTCCATTGCAATCGCCTCACAAAGAAAATTCAAGTGTAAACCCGCCACTAAAAGGGATTTGATTGTAATGCAAATCCAAAATAAATTATTGGAGGGTTTCAGTTTTTTTCAGTTTTTTCATGTTTTCCGTTTTTTTCAATTGTTCCCAGCTCTCAATCGAATTCTTTTTGTGGCGCAACTACAAAATGAGTTTAACTGTAAGCCGACATCAAAAGGATTTCAATTGCAAGTTCGCCACAAAAGGAATTGAATGGTAAATACGCCACTAGAGGAATTTAAGTGTAAACCAAACACAAAAAGAATTCAATTGTAAACCCGCCACGAAAGGAATTTAATTGTAAACCCGCCACAAAAGGAAATGAATGGCAAATCGCCTCACAAGGGGAATCCTTTTCTAAACCCGCAACAAAGGAATTTAATTGTAATACACGTGCAGATACAATCTATTTGGAAACAATAAAAACACGGCAAAACACTGAACAACTGAAACAATTGAAACACATATTAATAAAACCGTGAAATCTCCAGAACCCCCACAATGAGAATTCTAAGTGTAATCGTCACATCAGGAATTCAATTGCACACCTGCCACACAAGGAATTTGCAAACGTCATCATACACAGATCCGTCCTCCTCTTCCTCCTCCTCCTTCCTCCCTCACGTTTCGGTTGGCAGACCGCATACTGCACAATCCCTTCTCCTCCGAAAATAACCCTCGACCTCGACCTATTCGGCGGCAGAGTAACGACGGTTGACCTGTCCTGCCCGGTGCATGTTCCCACATATCCTAAGGTGGGCTTCCTGTTATTACCCATATCCAAAGGGTGGGCGTCTTGTTGATACCGACCGCGCGCGGACCTTCTCACATCTTCCCTCCCTACTCAGGGTACGATGGTGCACTCAGAGTAGGATGATGCCAATTGATGGCGATAGGAGTACGATGACGACGATGATGATGCGGGTGAGGAATGAGGCGGATGAAAATGATGCATCGTGCGAGGAGCTGGTTTTCGCACCCCAGGGGGCCAGATGACGAGGATGCCTCGCGCGTATTGCTTGTTTCCCATATCCAAAGGATGGGGTTATTGTTATTACTCTGACCGCGCGGACCTCACTTCCTCCTTCTCTTCCCCGTCCTACTCAGTGTATGATGATGCATTCAGAGCATGGTGATGCCAACTGATGACGATAAGAGTATGTTGACGACGATGATGATGAATAAGATGAATGATGCGGATGAAAAGTGGTGTCTCGTGCGAGGCGCTGTTTTCCGCACCCCAGTGGGGCCAGATGGCGAGGATGCCTCGAGCGGTTTGCTTGTGTTGGGGGCCAGGTTCGTTTGTGTAGAGCAGTCTCCGAGGATGTCTCGAGCAAGGCGCGGGTTTCACCCCCAAGGGGGAGCCGCCAGGGGGTATTGCACCGCTTCCGTTCGCGCCAAAATGGCGTGGATGTTTCGAGCGGGTTTCTTGCTTCGGTGCAGCAGCATCTTACCGAGACTCATTCACACCCCAGCTCATTCACAGTTAGCTTCATTCCCAGGACCGTCACTACTCAAGCCCGTGAATATGCGAAAACCCCTGCGCCTAGACCTTCACGGCGGACAGGCCCATGTTAATAGATGACATCTGGGGAGCCCCACGCAGGAAATAATTTCCGTCCGCGCGCGGACGTCCTCACCTCCTCTCTTTCTTCCCCATCCCATTCAGAGTATGATGATGCAGAATAATGGCGATGAGAACGCGATGACGATGCTGATGCAGATGACGGCTGATGTTGATGAAAAATAGTGTCTCGAGCGAGGCGCTGGTGTTCGCACCCCAGGGGGCCCAGATGGCGAGGATGTCTCGAGCGGTTTGCTCGTTTTGGGGGCCAGGCTCGTCTGTGTTCAGAGCAGACTCCGAGGATGTCTCGAGCGAGGCGCAGGTTTCATCACCCCCACGTGGGAGCCGCCATGGGTGTATTGCACCGCTTCTGCTCGCGCCAAAATAGCGTGGATGTTTCGAGCGGGTTGCTTGCTTCGGTGCCGCAGCATCTTCCGTTGTCGGAGCAGAGTTGGAGGATGTCTCGAACGCGGCGCGCGTTGCTACCCCCAAGCGGGGACAGGATTTGAGGTTGCCTCGATTGCTTTGACAGTTTTGGTGGCCACACTCGTGGACATGGATCCTCCCCAGGATGCCAGAGGAGGCTCCAGCTGGCTCCAGGAGGCCAAAGGAGGTCCCAGGAGGCATCAGGAGGCCACAGGAAGACCCAACAGGCCATCGGATACCCCAAGAGGCTCCAGGAGGCCCCAGGAAGCTCCAGCAGGCCTCAGGAGGCTCCAGAATGCTCCAGGAGGCCACAGGAGGCTCCAGGAGGCCACAGGAATCGCCAGGAGGCGCCAGGAGGCCCTGGAAGGCACCAGGAGGCCCCAAGAGGCTCCAGGAGCAGGAGGCTCACCTGTGTCTCCAATCCCATGTGTTGTACGCGTGCTCCTATAGATTGGGCCCCTCCTGGGGCACGAATCCTCTCCAGGAGGCCCCGGGAGGCCCCAGGAAACTCTTGGATGCCCCAGGAGGCCACACGAGGCTCCAGGAGGCCTCAGGAGGCCACAGGAAGCCCCAAGAGGTACCAGGAGGCCCCAAGATGCTCCAGGAGGCCCCAGGAAGCCCCAGGAGGTTTCAAGAGGCCCCAGGAGGCCTCAGGCTCATGCGCAGAGGCACTAATTCGATTGAGACTCATTCAAATCCATTCACAGTTAGATTCGCTCTCAGGCCGTCAATACTCAAGCCCGCGTATGTCCGAAGACTCTTGCGCCTGGACACGGCGGACAGGTCCATGCTAATAGATGTACATATTGGGATCTCCACGCAGTGAATACTTACTTGGACGCCTCCTACTCCTTCTCCTCCATCTCTCCTTTCCACGTCTCCTCCTACTTATATTCCATTATTGTAGTGGCCTTCGGCCAGTGCCGCCGATCCGGGGCGCTCCGACTGATGTGATCCTTCTTCGCCCTCGTCCCTCCTCTCTTTTTCCCTCCCCTCCTCTCACTCAGCATTTATCCAGTGGCCGTCGGCCTATCCCGCCACCGTGCGTGGGTGGTGGGTCAGAGGCCTCATGGATGCTGGTTGGGATCTCGTGGTTGGCTGGGACTTCTGGGGGCCTCTTGGGCGCCTCTTGGGGCTTCTTGGGGGCCTCTTGGGCCTCTTGGGGCCACTAGAGGGCCTCTTGGGGGTCTCTTGGGAGCCTCTTGGGGCTTCTTGGGGGCCTCTTCTGCGCCCCTTGGGGCCTCTTGGAGGCCTCCTCGGAGCCTCTTGGTGCGGGAGGGGTGGTACTCGAGTTCGGAACCCCCTCGGAGGCCACGAGCCTTGTGAGGGGTGTCAAAAAACGCATCCGCCGGAAACTCGCACCCCCCCCCCCCACCCCCCCTTCCCCGGCAGAGCCACCCCGGCGCAACCCCCCCAGAGGTTGAGGCTCAGCCTCGAGGCTGTAGCTGAGACTCCTTGAAACTCACACGCCGGATCGGCGGACTTGGACGCCTCCTACCCCTTCTCCTCCATCTCTCCTTTCCACATCTCCTCCTACTTATATTCCCTTATATTCAGATTTGCTCATACCCAGACTGATGATGATGGTGCTGATGATGATAGTGTTGCTGCTGCTGATGACGATCATAATGATGATGCCGTTGCTGCTGCTGCCGCTGCTGCTGCTGCTGCTGCTGCTGCTGATGATGATGATGATGATGATGATGATGATGCCGCTGCCGCTGCCGCTGCCGCTGCCGCTGCCGCTGCTGCTGCTGATGATGATGCTGATGATGCTGATGATGCTGATGATGCTGATGATGCTGATGATGATGATGAGGATGCTGATCATGCTGATGATGATGATGATGATGATGATGATGACGATGATGATGATGATGATGACGACGATGATGATGATGATAATGATGATGATGATGATGACGACGATGATGATGATGATGAGGATGATGATGATGATGATGATAATGATGATGATGATGATGATGATGATGATGATGATGATGATGATGATGATGATGATGATGATGATGATGATGATGATGATGATGATGATGATGATGATGATGATGATGGCGGCGGAGCAGATTCGAGGATGTCTCGAGCGAGGTGCTGGTTTCAGCACCCAAAAGGGGGAGCCGCCAGGGGGTATTGCACTCCTCCGTTCGCGCCGAAATGGCGGGGATGTCTCAAGCGGGGTGCCTGTTTCCTGGCCCAGCATCCTCTGCTTTCGGAGCAGATTTGGAGGACGTCTCGAGCGAGGCGTTCCACTTCCCCCAAGTGGGGCCAGATTTTGAGGATGTCTCGGTCGGTTTGCTTGTGCTGGTGGCCAGATTCGCGGGCACGGATCGTCCCCGGGAGGCCACAGGAGTCCCCCGGAGGCTCCAGGAGGCCACGGGAAGCGCCAGGAGGCACCAGGAGGCCACAGGAAGACTCAGGAGGCCGCAGGATGCCCCAAGAGGCTCCAGGAGGCCCCAGGATGCTCCAGGAGGCTCCAGGAGGCTCCAGGATGCTCCAGGAGGCCACAGGAGGCTCCAGGAGGCCACAGGAGGCCACGGGAAGCGCCAGGAGGGACCAGGAGGCCTCGGAAGGCACCACCAGGAGGCCCCAAGAGGCCCCAGGAGTAGGAGGCCTCAAAAGGCCACAGGAGCGGCTGCAATCCCGTGTGTTGCACGTATGCTCCTACAGAGCACGATTTGTTTTTCGTGTTTTACATTTGTTTCTACAGATTGTCCTTCCCCTGCGTATCCAATCCTAAGTGTTTTATGTATGTTCCTATCGATTTGGTTTCCCCCAGGGCACGAGGCCTTGGTGTTTTACGTGTGTTCCTGTAGATTGCTTTTCTCCTCCGGCTCCAATCCGCAGTATCTTAAGCACGTCTGTTCCTATGTATTTTCTCCTGGGGCACGCTTCCTCCCCAGAATGCCCCAGAGAGGCTCCAGGAGGCCACACGAGGCCACACGAGGCCCCAGGAGGCCCAGAGAGGCTCCAGGAGTCCCCAGGAAGCCCCAGGAGGTTCGAGGAGGCCCCAGGACGCCCCAGGCTCATGCGCAGAGACGCGCTCGTACTACTGAGACTCAGTTTCACGCCAACTCATTCACAATGGGAGTCACTCCCAGACCGTCAATACTCAAGCCAGTGAATATTCGACAACTCTTGCGCCTAGGCATTCGCGGCGGACAGGTCCATGCTAATAGATGACAGATGGGGAACTCCACGCAGTGAAGAAATGTTCTGGCGCGTTACTAAAAGGCCCCGAGTGTAGGGGAGCTCATAAAGTAGGTGTTTTTTTCCGCCGTCTCCTTTTCGTCCATGACGACGGCGACGGCGGCGGCAAGAGCGACAAGGGCAGGGGAAGCGTCCAGCAACTTCGACCCTCGACCTCGTCGGCGGACACGACGACGACGGCGACGACGACGGCGACGGCGACGACGACGGCCTCGGCGACCGTCGACGACGACAAGGACGACCGACCGACCGACCGACCGTTCGACCAGACGGACCGACGGACGGACCGACCGACCGACCGACCGACGATGACGACGACGACGACGACGAAAGACGACGCAGCGGCGACGACGACGAAGACGACGACGAAGACGGAGGGACGGCGGCAGCGGCGAGTCTGCCGGCGGTGGCTGGGCAAGGCGTGTGCCAGGGCGACGCGCTGGAGCCGGGTGCGTTCTCGGAGGCTCCGCCGCTCCGGGGGGACCTCGTGGCCGCCGGGTCGCCCGGCGGCGATGGCGGCGGCGGCGACGGCGACATCGACCAAAAGAGGGCGAGGTGATACAGCGGTCGGGTATGGCCAGGACCCCAGGCGAGGGGACCCGGTCAGTGGTCGGGCCCCGGAAGCCCCAAGTTGGTCAGAATCACTAAGCCAGGTCTGCCGTAGCTGGTGTTTTTTCCGGGTGCCGGCAGCTCCGGTAGGTGGAACGGGGCGGGGGGTGGCTTCCCCCAGGACACATCAGGTCCCAGCAAGTCCAGTTTTGCCAAGGCCCGAAACGGTAGTTGGCCTTCGGGAAGCCCCCTCGTCGCCACGGCTGGAAGCAGTTGGACCCCAAGAGGGGGCCAGGGACCGATTTTTGGACGAAGTTGGACGCACATGTGTGCGTGTGGAGCCCCAGAGGGGACCGAGTACCGATTTTGAGCTGGATGAGCGGGCGGCCCCGAGATTTCTCTGGGTGGGATTCCGGCGGGGCTGTGGGTGCGTGCTGTCAGATGGGGGTCCCCGCTCGAACGGGAGCCCCCCTCGGGGCTCGGGGCCCGACAACTCGCCAGTTCTACACCGCCTTCATCGCCCAGCCCTTCCCCATCCGTTCTCCTGAGAGGTTTTAGCGGATGTTGTTCTTTCGTCATGTGCTGCTGTCGGACGGGGCTAGGACGAGGATAAACTAGATCCAGAGCGTTCTGGAACACTCTCAGAGCGTTCCGGAACGCTCTGAGAAGGCCGCGGCGCCCGAGGCGTCCTCCAGAGCCACCGGATCTCAGAGATTCTCGACCTACCCTCACTCGAGTTTGTCTTCGTGCTGGCTTCGTTGTCTCAGCCCGCCCTGCTCCGAAAGTCGACGGCGGCGGGGAGGCGACTGCGCTCAAGTCGAGCCTGTCCCTCTACAGGAGGAAAATTCGAACACAGTCAAAACACAGTCCGGGGACCGTTTTGTGCTCGCCTCGCTTGGACTCTGGGGTGCACCCCCGGGGTGTCTGCGGGGGCCTCGACGCTGGGGCTTCGGCGTGTCCCGTGGGCCATCCGAGGGGCCATCGACGAACCATCTGCGCGCGGCCCGAGCGCCCCCTCTTCAGGCCTTGCCGGGGCTGCGCGGGCGCGCGCGGGTCGAGGGCCCGAGGGTCGTGGGCCTCCCCGCGCGACGACCCACGGGAGTCCTGGGCCCGTGGCCCCCAGGGCCGCGCCACGGACCTCGCGGGCCCCTGGGGCTCCGCGCCCCAGGAGCCCTCGACCCTCGATGCTTCGAGTAGGAGGTCGACGACAGCATTGGTTTGCCCCAGACTTGACTTTTCTTGTCGAATCCACGGGCAACTCGCAGAACTTTCGCAGGTCGACGTGAAAATCAATTTTGGGGTAGATCAATTCCGTAGTCGATCCCCCAGTCGATTGCTGGTGCCCCGGAGTCGGTGGCCCTGCCTCGCGGTTGCCGGGGAAGTCTCCCGCCCCTGCGCCGCCGCGCGCCGCAGCCCTCCGCCCCGGCTCCGGGGCCCAGGTGGCGCGGGCCCGTCGGCGGTGAGCCGGAGGGGGTCGCGCGCCGGGGGGCTGCCGCGGAGTCCGCGGGCCTTCGCCCCAGATTACCAGCCACAAAGCGATGACAATCTTAGGGATGCGCCCTCCAAAAATAAGGGAATCCCGAAGATTGGCATCGTCATGAGGAGATGCCCAGCATAGGGATAGGGATGTGTTCCAGGCTGGTAACCAGAATTACAAGAGGGAGTGCTGCGCCCTTTTCCGTCAGGGGCTCTGGCTTCGGGGCCCGTCGGGGCCCCAGGCGCGCAGGCCACACGCCCGCACCGGAGTTGGCCCCCCCCCGATGCGCCACCGAACGGGGCCGCCGAAAGTTGCCCCGAGAGATGGCAGTTTCACATCGGTCCTCCTCCTGCTCCTCCTCCTCCTCCTCCCGGATTTCTAGCGAAAGTTGGGTGAATGATCGTCTGCGCTATTTTTTAATAGCGCGGAGGACCATTCGGGGCGTGGACAGGCGAGACTCGGAGCCCTTGCTCGGCGCGATTCGGTGCTTAATCGGGGCGTCGACGGGGAAGACTCGGAGCTGGCGCGCGGCGGCCGCGGGCAGGATTCGGCGCTGAGGTTCGGCTGATGGCGCGAGGCGTGCTCAAGGCCGTCTTCAACAGCCTTGTCAGAAGCATTTCAGGAGCCTCGTGGGAGCTTCTCAGGAGCATTTCAAGATCATCTCTCAGAAGTTCTCAGAATTCCTTGTCAGGAAGTGGGCCTCATACGGACAAACTCCTGCACCGCTCTGCGAACTTTCTAAAGGCCTCTTATGAGCCTCTGAGGAACCCATGAAGTGGCATCAGGAGCCTCTTCAGGAGCCTTGAAAGGCCTTCCGAGGAGTTTCTGGGGAGCTTCCCCAGTGCCCAAGTCCGAGCGCGAAAACCAACCGGCCCTTTTGGAGGGGTTCGTGGCCGCGCGATTCCGAACGCGGGCGCCGACGGGGGCTTCTTAACACCCCCTTCCTTCGTTTCATGTCCGGTTCGCCCCCCTTCCCGCGTTTCCCCGTGGCTTTGCGTTCTTTGTTTTGCTCCTCCATCTGTTCCTCGCCCTCGTCGCCCTCTCTCATCTTCCTCTTCCCCCCCCCCCCCCTTCCATCGCTGCGTTTTCTCGTTTCGAGTTATCCTTGTAGCACTCCGCCCCCTCGTCTTCGTCGTCGCTATTTTCCTCATCTTCCTCGTCCGCCCCGTTCCCCCCCATCGTCGCCGCCTCCCCGCGCTCTCCCTTCTCGCCCCCCCGAGTCCTCTTGCGTTTCCCGCGCGTTTCTCGTCGCGTCCACCCTCAATCAGGTTCGCCCTCTGCTCGCGTGTTTGCTCCGCGCTGCGCGTCCATCTCTTTCGTGGCCTGTCTGGCACTTTGATTCATTCGGCAAATTAGCCTTTTGGTCCGTGCCGTTTCCTGTCCCCGTTTCCTTTTGCATTTTCGCATTCCTTGTCCTTTGCGTCTCGAGCCAATCCCCCCTTCGGCACCCGTCGTTCTTCCGCCCGCGACCCCGCCCCATTCGAGCGCGAGTGCTTGGGGTTCCAGGGCGATTCGTGTTAAGCCGGGGCAGTCGCGGTCATCGCGCGCGCGCTGATTTCGGTCGTTGACATCGTTTTCCCCCATATCGTGCCCACGTTGGTGGGGATGGGGCGCCCTTGCCGCGCGCGGGGGGCGCACCGCTCTGCGCCCCCGCGCGCGTTGGCGCCCGCGCGGCCGTGGCGCGCGCGTGCAGGATGCCTCGCAATCGTCGTCGTCGCCGCCCTTCTCCTGTAGGTGGGGGAGGGTCGCGCAGCCTCGGCGCGCTGGTGGTGCTCCGCGCGGTGCTCCCGCAAACTGCAGCATTCGTGCGGTTGTGGTGCGCGCAGGCAGGCTGTCTCGAATTGGTTGTTGTCGCTGTCGTTGTCGTTGGTGCTGTCGCCGTCGTCGTTTTCGTCGTCGTCGTCGTCGTCTTCGCATTCGCGTCCGCGCAGAAACAGGTAAATGCCCCCCCCGCGCTTCGTCGTGAAATGGCGCGTTCCTAGTTGGGCCGTTTTGGGCGCCTCTTGGGGCGTCTTGGGGCGTTCTTAAGCCGTCTTGGAGCCCTCTTGAGAGCCTCGTGGGCTATTGAGGGGCGGTCTTGGGAGCCTTTTGGGCCGTCTTGCCCGAAAGGCGAGAGTGCAAACATACGTTTCAAACACCCAAGGCCAATCAGTGATCGTTTCCTCTTGGGAGGCCTCTTGGAGGCCTCTTGGGGCGTTTGGGAGGCCTTTTGGGCCATCTTGGGGCCATCTTGGGCGTCCTGGAACGATCTTTCGGCGACTCGGGGCCCTCGCCGTCTTGGGGGCTTCGCGGTCCGCGGGGAAACACTGTAGATTTCGGAATTTGGGGGGTCCAGCGCCCTGAAATAAATATTCTTCAGGACTGAGGACCGAGGCCCCAGGGATTAGGCAAAGCACTTGAGGACACGCCCACACACACACACCCCAATGGACTGCTCTTGGGCCTCAGGGGAGGGAATCTCGATTGAAATCAAGCAATTTATACACCGCCGCCCTCCCTGAAGACGAGCAGACTTCGTCGGCGGGCGCCTGTGCATACATTCTCTTGGAGGAGATCCTCTCTGATCTCCTCCGGCTGACCCCGACAGGTCCTTAGGAGCCACGTGGAGCCGACCCCGCCCTCCCGCCACATCCGCCGACCCGGGCCTCGGCAGCTGCTTCGTGGCTGGCCGGGGTTCGCGATATGGCCAACTCTCATGGCAAGGACGGGCACCTTTCCAGGGCTGCCCTTTGCATCCCTGCCCCTTCGGTCCAGGATCTGGGCGACGTTCGCTGGCCAGCCCCGGTCGAGAACGCCAACATGGCCCTCCAGAGTCCCTGCGTCCTCGTCGCGCATCCTCGCTGTACGACTTGCCTGTAAGGCCCCGGGTTTGCGCGGACCCCAGACAGCACGCCCCCGAGAGAAGTCGAGATTTGAGGGTCGATGTGTTTGGGCGGTTCCAGCCGGCTTGGGCTTCCTGGGATCTACTCGTTGCAAGGTCCGCATGCCCCTCGCCTTCGGACGCTGGCGATGACGACGTCGGTGGTTCCATAACTATGCTTCTGCATAGCCCGACCACCCTGGCCGCGCTGGGTTGCAGCATGCTGTAGAGCCAGGCGTAATAGAACTGCGCCAGCAGGATTTGAGGGCTTCTTTGGTTTCGTCTCATCTCGGCGGAGCTTCATTGCAGTGGGTGGGCGCAGGTTGCCTTCGGGACCTTGCGTCGACCAGCCTTCGCTGGCGACGTCGACCGTCGTCGGCTGCAGACAAAACGTTTAGACAAGGTCCGCTGGGATTCTGAAGGGGCTCCATGTGTTTCGAGTCTTTCCACGGCGTTCCTCTTGCGCTAGTCCTGCATCTGGGCGCTGAAGCGGCCAAGGCGGGGCTTCGTTCATATCCTGATGTCGCTTGTCTCAAATACTTGCAGGCACGTGTGCCAGGCCCATTGTGACGGGAGGTTTTGTCAGCGTGCCCAGATGTTTGGGGCATTTTTTCCGCCACGGAACTGTCAAGCACTATTCAAGATGAAAAACAATGCCCTGAGGAGGGGTCCAGAGATGGGGGTTCAAGCCTTCCTCTTTCGCAAGCAGGAGTCAACGCACGGTTTTGTTTCTGCAGTCTCTGCCTCTGTAGAGTCCTAGCGGGCCCTGGGACTGCCAAAACACGACTCGGGATAGGGGCCTGGACATTTGGAGGTCCAAGGTGTGAAAAGTCACGACGACGAGCGCATGGGACACCAGACCGCGGATCTAGGAGGCGGTGCGAGCTGCCTCGAGAGTCTGGTAAAGACGCGCCCCAGAAGGGGTCGGGTGGGCGATTCCGAGCATAGAGAAGACAGAGGAGGAGGAGGAGGAGGAGGAGGAGGAGGAGCGAGGAGCGAGGAGCGAGGAGGAGGAGGAGGAGGAAGAGGAGGAGGAGGACCCAGACCTCCGACGTCGTGAGTGTTCTGATGGCAGCTTTTCGGAAGAAGGTCTGCACTCGGGGGCCCGCTTTGGGCCCACAGGGCCGTCGGGAAGCGATCCTGGATGAGAAGCCCGCCTCCAGGAGGGGGTGGGAGGTCCAGAGGCCACGCACTGATAAACCGCGACAGCGGACACGTGGGTCGAATTCGATCCCGCCGTCGTCGCTGGAGACGGGGGGGGAGGGGGGGAGGGGGGTCGCACGCAGGCTCTCTCGCGGCGGGCCTCGCTCGCGGGAGGCGCAGAGGAGCACGACTGAGAGTCGATGGAGATCTAGGCTCCTGGACGTCCCTGGTCGTCCTGGGGCCTCCGGAGGCTTCGGGGGATGTATCCGGAGGAGGGGGGGGCGCCCGAGGTCACCGTGTTCACGCAACGTGCGCCCCGCGGGCCTCTCGACCCCCTGCCCGGGGGTCGGCGTCTCAGCCTGGGACGCTTTGGAGTGTTCCGAGGCTGAAGCTGGCCTCAGGAGCCAGAGACACGTCGGAGAGCGCTGCGCTTCCAGTCGTTGCGGTGGTCTGGTCTGGGTCCTCCGCTCCGGATGGACGCGCTCTGGCCCAGAGTTTCGAGGCGAGTCCAGCTGTGGCCACGAGGGCTTCTCCCACTGGCCCGAAGAAGCCGAGCACAGGCAACACATGTCGATCCTTCTGCACTGTTGGGTTTTCCTATAGTCGGCCCAGATGAGTAGGGCGACCCAGCCGAATCAAGGTACCCTTGTGTCCTGTGTCTCGCGGCCGATGCCTCCTACATTCCTATGGCAATGTGGCCCTTGTGTCCTCTCGCGTGTCCTGCCCAATCGAGTCCGACTGTATTCCTCGTGCTCTTGCCCCGCCAGATACCCGACGGCGGGGCCGACGCCGTCCTCTGCGACCTGCCCAGCGGCTCCCTGTGGCGGGCCAGCTCTGACGAGACCGCGTACTCCGCCTTTGTCGCTGAGGCTGGTGACGGGGGAGGCCGGGCAAGGACTGGCGGTCTCCCACATTCGACTATACACGCCAATCGCTGAAAGTAGGTATTTTCGGATTCCCAGATCCCAGTCCCTTTCAAGCGCATTCCTACTTCAAGAATCGACTTGTTTTTGCAGTGTTTCGTTATTCTCTGGGAGGGCCTGGACCCAATCCACTTTATCCGCCTTCCTACTTCATGTTTTTACCTACTGCTTCCGACCGACGTGTACGCAAGAGTGACCCTGGGAAGGAGTGACCTTTGGTGCGCGGCTTTTTGGTGACCGCGGGGGGACCAAACCTGGGCGCGCAAGCAGCTGCTACTGCTTCGTTTTCAGCCACCTGGGGACCCATCTGTGCCCGCACCAAAGGTCACTCCTGCGAAAGGTCACTCTTACGTCTAGTCGACACATGGGGTCCGAGTAAATGAGATCGGAGGGTCATGACGCATCACCGATGCATCGCTGATACATCGGCAATGCATCAGCGACCTCGGCCATGCATTGGCGCCGTTTGCACAGAGAAACGTTGGGTCCCCATCGAGCCGCATCGCCGATGCTTCTGCGATGCGGCGCGATCCTCCGATACAATCTGCTCCGACCCCAGCGGGGAGGCCTGGGAGAGCGGGGGTGGTGGGGGATCGACATGCAGAAAACAGAGTGTTTTGTTTGTGTATTCTCCTGCGGCCAAGAACGCCCCCGCTGTAGGACCGGAAACGGCGAAGAGCTTCAGCGGGCCAGAAATGGCGCACGTCCGCCGCCCTTTTTTATGTTTTGTTTTGTTTTTTGTGTTTGTTTCCCCCTTTTTTTTTTTTCTCTCTCTCTCTCTCTCTCTCTCTTTCTCTCTCCCTTTGTATCCCTCTGCTCCTCCTCTTTCCCTCGCCACCCCCCCCCGCGCGGCGCGCGGCCGATCACGCAGCAAGACACGAGTTCCCGATGTTTCCGCATCCGTGCCCTACGTCATATGCACCTCCGGGTTCGGCGATCTCTTGCTTGCTGGTCTGCCTGATGCGGAGCGCCAGAGCGCAGCAGGCTTTTTTGACTGCACTTGACTCGTTGCAAGTAGCTTGAGCGGGGCGGCCGCAGGTCGGCTAGGCGGCAGACAGAGCCCGCCTAGCGGGCACTACAAAGGATCTCCGCTCCTGGTCCGTCCGCAAGCAAAAGCGATTCTTCGCCATTGGACCTGCATGTTGGGCGGGGGAGGTATTGGCACCGAAGGGGAGGGAGGGGGAATAAGAGGAAGAGAAGGGATCGGTGCCGTGCGAGAGTCACTAAGCGCGCCAGCTAGGCGTTGCCCTATGCGGGCAGCGCTGAAAGACCGAAGAGCAGCACAGCTGGCCTGAGGAACGGCCACCTGGGAGCATGGCTTAGCCATGGATATGAGCGGGATGAGTAGGAAGAGGGCCAAAATGGCAGTGCCGCGCTGTAGGGCGACCGTGTCGGAGCGGACCAGGAGGGAGAGGCTGGCCTTGCCGCCTAGAGACCTAGGAAGCCCCATCGGAAACGCACGTGACCGGTAAGGGGGGCAGGTAAGAGAACGCCTGTGCTGTACTTGGCTTCTTAGTGTTAGCGGGATTCGCCGACACGTGGTAAGAGGGGAAGGGAGGAACTCGAGGGAAGGAGAAGTAGTATCTTGCACAGCCAAGAAGCACTAAGGCGCGGTAGCTGTTCGCAGAGGTGCGCACCTCTGATGGGCAGCATTAGCCGAGAGATACTCGGCAGGAGGGAGGTGCTGAGGCAACATCTATTCGCGATACGAAGGGAGGGAAATAATGAAGGGAAGGGAGAGGGATGAGATGCTGCCATCAGCGCACAGCGTACTGCTGTGCGGCCAGGCAGGGGACCCTGCTGGCGGTGAGGCCATTCAGCAAGGTAGCTGGCGAAGGTGCTGGCTACCAGCGCGGCGAGGCTGGGGTGGTGGCTCGGGGCCCCACGCCGCCTAAGGTATGGGGGGCCTGTGGCCCAGACTCAGCCTGGGGCGAGTCAGCGAATTGTGACAGAGGCTGGCGGCCTGGACGTAGGCTCGCGCTTGCTCGCTGGAGCCAGTGGCTCGCTGTGAGAGCGCTGCCAGGCCCAACTGTAGGGGCGACGCAGGCCGCACTAGCGCGGCGGTATATATAAGAGTACTGGTGCTGGCGTGCCGCCTACATCAGTGCTTCCCGACATGGGCGGCCGTGCCCATGGGGGTCTAGAGACTAGTAGGGCCTGCGGCTTATCTGGGCGTCGTCCCAGGAGCAAGTGGCTATCGCCTGCAGGCGAGCGCAGGCCGCGTGGCTAGCGGTGTGTGTGAAAGGAGGAGGCTATAAGAGGAAGGAGCGGGGACCCCGAAGGCACTTGGCTGTGCTGGGCCACTTGCTTGCCGCAGCCTAGACTCAGCCGTGGCGAGTCTGCGAATTGAGCTGTGAGCGTTGAGCCGACCGCTCTTCTGGTAGCGGGGCTGCTTAAAAGTGTCGCGTTGGCCGCACTCGTGCGGCGGAGAGGTGTGAAGCTAGAGACTGGTGCTGGCTAGCCGCCTACATTAGTCTGTCCCTGCATGTGGCGGAGGTGCCAGCAAGGGTCTAGTTGCGCGTGTTGAGGGCCTGCGGCTAGCGCTGGGGCATGTGCGGAGTGAGGCAGAAGGAGGAAGAAGCGGGTTCCCCAAGAGCACTCGCCGAGGCCTCAACTTGAGGCTAGACTGGTAGCGGTGAGACAATATGGACGTGCCCTGTGAAAGTGCACAGCCACGGCGGAGCCTGTCATCTCTCGAACACCCTCGATGATCGAACTCTCACAGAGGGGGTCGAGGAGCGCAGGCGCCCCTACAAAAAAGGCTCAGAGCCCGCGCGTGGCGGTGGGCGACTCTTGCAGCGGGCCCTTGGGATGGGGCTGAATGATGATAGAACTGAAAGGGCCCGCTGCGACGGGACTGCAGGACGGCTCAGCCGACCTTAAATTGGAGCGGCACGGCTCCCCAGCGCGTAGAAATATTCGGCTCGTGTGGCTGGCTAGGGCTGTCTAGGTGGAGGGCAGCCGAGGCGAACAGAGACTAGGGTATTAGGCTAGCCCACCACCTATGAGGGCGCATTATTGGCTGCGCCGAGGTCGCCCGTGTCGACCTGGGATGGCGCCGACTGGGAGGCAGCACGCACTAAGGCCCGCTCAGGCACCGAAGGGCGACGCGTTGGACGGCTGCTTGGGCGTGGGCACCGGCGTAGGCGCAGGGGCCCTCTCGGCGGCCGCGCGGGCGGCCGCGGCCGCCGCCGCTCGCGCCTGGGCCTCCTGCGCGGCGGCCTGCTGCTGGTTGAAGTGGTCCAGCAGCATGGTCTCGACCTCTGCGATGGTCGCCAAGCCTGGAGCCTCTATCCACTCCCAATCCCAAGTTTCGACGACCTGGCCAGCGATGATGTCGACCGACTTGAGCTTCCACACGAACGGGTAGCGCATGCCGTTGGGCATCTTCCACTCGCCAGGGTACGTGGCTGGCCACCATTTTTTGAACACGCGGGTGGCGGCCGTGTACTGGGAGCCCTGCCATGCCGAGCCAGACTGCGTATCGCCTGATAGGCCGAAGAGCTCCAGCGTGTTGGGCGGCGCCCTGCCGGGCTCGGCCGCGGCCCCAGGCGGGGGCGCGGTCCCCTCCGTCGCCGCCGTCGCGAGCCCGCCCACAGGAAGCCTGGCCGCCATGGCTGCGTTGCGCGCGCTGAGAGAAGGGGGAGTGCGAAGGGAGCGAAGAGAAATAGCCCATAAGCCAACGGCCAAATATGAGTGAAACCTATCTATCTTATGCGTGCGCCTGGGTGAGGAGGACCCTCCTAATGGGCCGACTGATGCATGCTTGGCCCGGTGCGGAGTCGATAGGGATGAGGATGGTTCCGCTGCGCATGTTGACCCGCAGCGAAAGGCCGGTGCGATAAGGTATGCCCGTGCCGAATAAAATGGGCAGTGCATCGGTCTCCTGTAGAATGGGGAGGTGAAAATAGCGCGGCCTCTCCACAGAGGATGGCAGCCGGGTCTCCTGCCCGTGAAATTGCTCCATTAGGAGCCCTACATTGATGGACAGTGGAGACCAGAGCGGAATATGGCCTGCCGTAATCACTACCAGCCACTGTACGACTGTAGGCGGTGGTGGCACGGCCTCAGTGGGGGCCCAGCGGGCGTCGCCGTGCTCGAACTGCGGCAGGTGCTGCGCATCTGGGGTCGGCATGGCCTGAGGGACTAGGGCACAGGGAGGCGGAGGATTCGGGAGAGGTAGGACAATGGGAGGCTAAATGGCCGCACCAGGATCATGGCCTGGAAGTCTATTAGGATGGGGCTGCCAGCCGCTGCATCCTCCAAAAAACGCTGAGAGGTGAGAGAAGGCTGGTCCCAGGCCCCCGTGTGGAGGAGGTCCAGAAAAATCTGGTTGGGCACGTAGACAGTGACCAAACCGATAGCGGGTGAGAAACGGGCAGCATAGGGGCCTTCACCCGCTGCGCAGTGAGGATAAATGTGGAGGAAGTTGGGAGAGTTGGCCTCGCACCAACGCCCATACCACCGCTCGACGGTGTGATTAGCGACATCGGGCAAGTCCATGTGGAGCTCGGGGCCTACGGTAGCGCGGGCGTGTGGCATAGCAGGCGGCCCGCCCTCGAGCTGCCATGTAGCTTGCCACTGGGGTACCGAGGCAGGCTGGTACACAGTGGTAGGAGACAGTAAAAGAGCGTGGCGCCTCGAGCCGCCGCTGAGAAAGCGGTGGACTTGCTGGTGGGCCAGGAGGAGCCGCTCAGCCAAGTGCTCCCAAAAGGGCCAGGGGCTATGAAAGTCTGGTGGCAGAATGCGAAGCACATCTAGGTGCCTCCCCGGAGCCGCTTCAGCAGCGGGCATGTCCTCGTCTGCGTCGGCGTTGCCCAGGGTGCTGAGCTCGCGCATCATGGCCTGTGGGGGGGGGGGGAAGCGAAGGAAATGAAGCTAAGAGAGGGAGAGTAGGGAAGAGGTAGGCCTGGGCTGAATGACCAGCTGCATGGCGTAAGTTTAACGCCTGGCGGCATCGCCTCCTTCATGAGGCTTGCGCGGCCGCCTGGGCGAGAGGCGCTGACCGCAATGCGAGAGGCCTTCGCCTTCTCGTAGCTGAAGCTTGAGGCGCTCTCTGTGTATCCTGTCGATGCGGAGCTGCTCCTGCCTATGCTCCTCTTTGAGCTGGGCAATTCTATCCTCGTGCGCCTTGAGGACTGCACTGCGCTGCTCGACCGATGCTGCGTCTGGCGCTTCGGCAGGCGAGCGCGAGCGCGGAGCCGCATGGGCGGCGCGGTGAGACTTGCGAGCCTTCTGGTGCCGAGGAGGAGGAGAGGCTGAAGGCGAGGCCGAGCCGTGGGATTCCTGCGGGCTGCTTTGAGCCTCGGCTGGTTCTCGGCGCTGTTGCGCAGGCTGCCTGAGTGCACTCTTGCGCGGCTCCGTGCGTCGGCGCGAAGTGTAGGCCACCCTGGGGGCTTTGGCCGTGCGCTCGTCTGCAAAGGAGACCTGCTTGCGCTTGCGAGTGGCAGAGGCGCGGGGCGCTGCTGGCTGGTCGGCTGGCTCCGGAGAATCCTGCGGGGGAAATGGGGAAGAGACAGAGGAATATGAGGCGTCGTCTACTTGCGCAAGCCTTCTAGGAAGCGCTGGCGGGCTGGAGGCCCTGCGCGGCAGGCGCCTGTGGGGTGAGGCAACTTGGCGAGATTCGCGCGGAGGTGAAGGCGGAGGACGCGCTGCAAGGGGTGGTGAAAAAGGAGAAGCGGCCTGGCCGATCCAGCCTCCCGGAATGGTGGCTTTGACCTGCACCATGGGATGATCTGGGGGCGGCAAGGGAGGCAAGGCGCTCGGAGGTGGCGGAGGATGAAAGGTGGCTCCATAGATGTGCCTGCCGTGTCCTATAGGGGGGCCGTTGAAATCGCCAGGCGGGCGTGGGGGGCCCAAGGCTGAGGGAGTGCTGGACAAAGAGCGCTGCACTGCTTTGGCTACCTGGGCGAACTGGACAGGTGAGAGCAGGGGGGGAGGAGCTGAGGCGGAGCGAAAGTGGCCCGGTGGCGGGTGCCTGGGTCTGGCCTCGCGAGGCACCAGCACCCACGGCCGTCGGGACATGAGCCGCCTACCTAAATGTCGAAGATGTCGGCGTTGAAGTCCTGCGGGGCAGGCGAAGCGGGATGCCACATGTGAGAGAAGGTAATGCCAGTGAGCGGGACGGGGCGCGCCGCTTGGCGGGCGCGCTCGGCCCTGATTTGTTTGGCCCGGTCCCGATTGCACTGGATGCGCCTTTTCTGATCCAGAGTTAGAGAGGGAGAGGGCGGCGGCGGAGGGAGAGTGGAGGGAAAAATGGGGGCTGTGCCCAAAAAGTGCGTGGCCTCTTGTTCCGAGCGCAGCAGGAGAGAGGAGGGGGGCGGAGGCCGAGGCGGAGGGCGGGGAGCGGAGGGCCAAGCCCCGGGGTCGCCCCTGCCCGGACGAAGACGAGGGACAGGACCTCCTCCTGCTCCTCCTCGCTCCTCGCTCCTCGCTCCTCGCCCATCCCTCCTCCTCCTCCTCGCTCCTCCTCCTCAATCCTCCTCCTCCTCCTCCTCCTCCTCCTCTTCCTCCTCTTCCGGGCGAGGACGAGGGGGGGGGGACTCAGAGGAGGACAAGGTGCCCACACCGCTACCCTTCCCTCGTTTTCACCTGGTCGGGCCTCCTGGGAGGCCCCCGCCGCCATTTCTGGATCCGCCTCGAAATTCTGGTCAACACGCGCCCTGCGAGAGGTCAGGGAAGTAGCGGTAGTGGTGCCTTTCGATCTCCCCGGAGGCGGAGCATGATTTGGGCCACTCAGATGGGGTCCCAGTAGATGGGATCGGTGGATCGCGCTGCATCGCCGCATCGGGGATCCGGCTCGATGTGGAACCCGATTTTCTTCACGCCGGCGTCGCTGATGCATAAGCGATGCGGCGCGATCCTCCGACCCCGTTTGCACGGACCCCATGTAGGAGGCCTCTGCAGGAGGGAGGAAAGAAGGAGGGGGACGGAGAGAGGAAGAGAAGAGAGGCGGAGGAGGAGGAGGAGGAGGAGGAGGAGGAGAATGGCGAGAGGATGAGGACGTGAAGGAGGGAGACGACGACGATTTGACGACGACGACTGAAAAACGAAGACGACGACGACGACGCCGTTGACGACGACGACGACGACGACGACGACGACGAAGAGTGGATTCTACAGGCGGCGCGGATGCTGCGGCCAGGGGGGCGATGCGTGCTGCTGTCCAGCAACAGGCTGGGGCTGGCGAGGCGAGGTCATTCATTCGTCGTCGTCGTCGTCGTCGTGATGGTGGTAGTGCTCGTCGTTGTGGTCGTCGTCGTGGTCGTTGCCGTCGTCATCGTCGTCGTCGTCGTTGTCGTCGCTGTGGTCGCCCTCGTGGTCGTTGTCGTGGTGGTCGTCGCGGCAGTCGTTGTGGTCGTTGCCGTGGTCGTCGTTGTCGCGGTCGTCGTCGTGGGTTATGTCGCCCGAGAAGAGGAATTGAGCGACGCAGAAAAGCATGTTTGATACGCTGATATTCGCGTGCTGTCTGCCCACGTAAGGTATTGAAAAGGCGCCCTCGCTTCCACGTGGTATGCCGCGTTGGTGCCCTGCGTAGGCCATCGGTTAAGGTGTTTTCGTTGTTCTGCGTCTGATGTGTCCTCTTGGTCTCTGAGTTGTCGAGGAGAAGTAGGAGGAGGTCTTCGGATGTGGTTGCGGGCGCTTGGTGGTAGTTTTAGCTTTCTGAATGAGACCAGAGGTTCCGAGAGGTCTCTAGAAGACGACGAGGTGGACCGCGTCTTTGTATGATGTTGTTCCGTTGTTCCCTTCATATTTGTCGTCTGTTTGGTCATCTTTAACCTCATCAAGATCATCTCGCTCCTTCTCCTTGTGTCTTCTTTACTCGATTCTCGCCCTCGGCATCTCCGTTTCCCTCATCCACTCCTTCGATCTCGTCGTCGTCCTTGGCCTCGCACTTCGCGGTCTTGTGGCTCAAGGTATTCTGGCTCAGACCCGTTCGTGCGTAGCTAGTGGTGAGTTGGTCAATTTCTCGACGAGCGCACGTACCCTCAGTTGCCGCGGGCCTTCGCCGATCTAAGCTTGCATGAGAGCGCGAATGCATTCTGGATCTTACCAGCTCCTGACTTGTTTACACTCGCTCTGCTGCCCTGGGTGCTACGCTTCGCGCTGCGTGGCCAACAGCACCATTGGACACCTGACGCTGCGGTGTGTGTGTGTGTGTGTCTCCTGGGGGCCGCGGTGGGTGCACACACCGGTATCTCGCGACGCTCTCCCTGTTCGATGCGAGAGCCACGCCGCCGTGGGGACTGCCAGGCGACGCCGCCCGCCTCGCCTCGCTTCCACGGCCTGCGACCGTGGCCTCCCTAGCCGGGGATCGACTGCACGTAAGAGTGACCCTTCGCCGGAGTGACCTTTGGTGCGGGCCAATTGGGGTCCCCGATGCAGAGTGAGGTCCTCTTCGCCGGAGTGACCTTTGGTGCGGGCCAATTGGGGTCCCCGATCGCCGAACGCGAGGCGGCAGTGGCGTCTTGCGCGCTTGTGTTTACCCCCCCCCCCCCCCCGCGGCCCCCCAAAAAGCTGCGCACCAAAGGTCACTCTTACCCAGGGCCACTCTTACGTGTAGCCGAGGGGCGCGTGCCCCGAGGCTCGCACACCACACGCGTGGGGGCTCGCAGAGCTCCGAGGGCCTGCTTCCTGGCGCTCCCCGCGCCTTGCCGCGGCCGCGGGAGAGCGCCCGCGGCGGGGTCCTGCTTTCTCGTGGCGCTGCTGCGTGCAAGCGGCCCAGCGTCGCACGCGCGCCGCGAGGACGGCAAGGGCGAGGAGGCGTCGACGTTGGCGATGACGTCGACGACGCCGACGACGACGACGACGACGACAACCACGGACGACAACGACGGCCACGACGACCAGCGAGAACGACGACCGACGCCGACCGTTTCAAGGTCGACGACGACGGCGGCCGACGGCGACGGCGACGCGCGGCGGCCCCGACGCCGCCCGCGGGCGGCGGCTCACCGCTGCGAGCGGCCACGCCGCTCTCCCAGGGCGGTGCCGGCGGGCCTGTGGGAGGCCGTCGCCAGCTGGCCGGTGGGCAGGGGCAAGGGCAACCTCACCACCAGGCGCCCGCGGCCATCGGGCTTCGAGCTCCCTTCCGGCTTCGAGCTCCCTTCGGGCAGGGGATGCAGAGATTGCTCCCTTCGGGCTTCGAGGGGCCCTGCAGTGGATCCCATGCTTCGCACGGCTGGAGTTTGGCGGCAATGGCCCGGCAACAACGCCACCAGGCGTCCGCGGCCTGGGCCCGATTGGCCGATGCAATCCAAGGATTGCCCTCGTGGATAGGGTTAAGTCGGGTCTGTCCCTCTACAGGGGGGAAATTCAAGAATAGTCCAAAATAGTATGGGGACGATTGTTTGACTATTTTTGACCAGTTTGTCTATTTGTTTGTGTATTTTGAACTTTTCGTCCAAAACCATCTTGTAGGGGGACGTGCCCGACCGAATGATAGGGGATAGTGAGGTTGCTCCATTCGGGCTTCGAGGAGGTCATCTCGCCCAACTGGGGTGGTGGGATGGTGGGCATCCAGACAGGAATAGGGATCGGCAAAACGATACTGATCGACGGCTGTCGTCCAGCTGGCCGGTGGGCGGAGGCAACTGCAACATCACCACCAGGCGCCCGCGGCCTTGGACGACGACGGCCGTCGATCAGTATCCAAAATGGCTTTCGGACCATCCTGCCACCGTGCCTGGGCTGTGGGCATGAAGCCCGTTGGATGTTCGTTCGGATCGCGTGGGAGGCCTCTCGGGGGCCTCGGGGAGGCAGTCTGGAGGCCTCTTGGTGGCCGTTTGGGGCCTCCAGGGGCCTCTTTTGGGCCCCTCGGGGGCCTCTTGGGGCTTCTTGGGGCCCAGAGGGCACCGTGGCGGCTCGCGTCGCCGATCCCTCTCCCAGTCCCGATACCCATCACCCCACCACCCTGGTTGAGGGAGAGGGGCCCCTCGACGCCCGAAGGGAGCGGCCTCTATCCACATCCAGGGGGAGGAGGCATCCTTGGGAGTGCATCGGCCCGCGGCGCGGGGCCCGGGCCGCGCCACGTGGGGACGGGGAACTGGTGAAGCGGTGTGCACTGCCGGCCGATCGGCCTGGCCGGCGGGCAGGGGCGGGGGCAGCGCTGCCAGCAGGGGCCCGCGGCTTCGGACGACGGCTGCCGACGACCGACGACGTCGTCGTCGCCGATCGATCGATCGATCGATCGATCGATCGAGAATCGACCGATGCAGTGATCCAAGGGCGAGCGAGGGGGGAAGTGAGAAGAAGAAGGCCCTCTCAGAAGGCTCGGAAGACCCCCGGCCTTCTGAGAAGTTTCCTAAACATTCCCCGAAGACAACGACAAACTTCTAAGAAGGCGCGAGGGTTTCCGAGAAGTCCCGCCGCCTTTGAGAAGGCCTTCTCTTTCGCATTTCCCCGCGTCGCTCGCCGCCGAGGCCACATCGCCGTTTAGCTTGGTTCGGGCCCTTGCTTTGTTTTGCGTTTCTGTTTTGAACGCCCCGTTTCGCCGTTCGCTCTCGCCTGGCACGGGCTTCGCTTGAAACGCTCGTTGCAAATGTTGGGCCTCGCTTCGTTGTCTCCGTTGTAATCGCCATTTCCTTGAACCGCTCGTTTTAAACGTGAAGCCTCGCTTCGTTGTTCGTTGTAATCGCCATTTCGTTGAAACGCTCGTTTTAAACCTTAAGCCTCGCTTCGTTGTTCGTCGTAATCGCCATCTCGTTTCAGACTCTGCCGTGGCCGGTTCTCGATCGGGGCTCGGCCCGCGCAGGCGTTCTCGTATCAGAGCTCGGCCTGCGGGGCCCCGGGAGGGGGCCGGCAGGCTTCTGCTCGACCCGACGAGCAGGGGCAACGGTAGGGGGGGCGATGGGCACAGGGTCGGGCCGGGCGAAAGGGGGGGATTGGGGGGGGTTACGAAATCTGCTGCATGCAGCTGGTTTAGGCCTCACCGAGGGGCCCATTCCTCGATACATGGCCGCCTCCGGCGCCGGGAGGCGCCGGGAAAAGCAGCTACGTGAGCTGATTCTCAACCCCCCCCTTTCGCCCGACCCGAGCATAGGGGGGATGCATCGACGCCCAATCGCCCATTGATCGCCGATGGGGGCCCGATAACCCCGACCTGCCCAGGAAGGTGCGGATTCCCTATCGGGGGCCTGTCGCCGATCCATCGGCGATGTATCGCCGAGTCCAGGTCGATGTTTCCCCCCCCATCGTTCCCCTGGCTACTCCGCTTGACCGCCCGGGTTCACCCCGTGGACGGTTGACTGCAGGACCAGTACTCCCTTCAGGAGTCTCGGTGTGCGACTTTGGTGGCGCCACCCCATGCACTAGTTCCATGGCCAGTGAGTTCTCCTGGTTAGCTGGTGCAGCGTACTGGTGGTGGTCTTCCTGGCCACATCCTGGTAGCACCCCCGCGCCATTTTGGCCGCGCTCCAACCCTGGTTGGTTAATCGTGCATGTGCGCGCTCCTGGGCCTGGCTCCTGGCAGCTGCAGCCCGCACCCCCATCTCGCCGGCCCGCCCGCTCAGGTGCTTCTTAGGTCGCCGGCCCGTCGGCGTTAGGCAATGAGGCTCGTGCGCGGCCAGCTCGGACCCTACTCGCCGCTGGCGCTCTCGCCCGCGGCCGCGACGAAAAACAATGTTCCTGTTCTTCGCTGCCATGAATTCCTCGCCTCCCGTTTGTCTGCTCGTTCTTGTTCTTCTTTTTTCGCCCTCCTCTCCCTTCGCGCTAATTTAGGCCGCTGCTAGCTTGCAAGTCCCTGGACGCCGCCCGGCCTTGCTTCGCCGCGGTCGCGATCAAAAAGTATCCCCACCAGCCCATTCAGAAACCTTGGCCTTCAGAGCTGACGGGAAAAGGGACGAGGAGACACATCTAGGGAAACAAAGCGAGCAAGGGGGTGGTGGCATTGGAAGCCCTCTTCGGGCCATCCCTGTGTGCCGCGTGGGGGCGAGGAGAAGAGGAGGAGGATGAGGAGGAGGAGAAAGAGGAGGACGAGGAGTACAAGGAGGACGAGGACGCGGATGAGGACGAGGATGATGAGGACGAGGACTATGATGAGGACGACGCGGACAAGGACCCATGGAACCATCTAGAGGTATTTTTGCGGCTGCTGCTACTGCTGCTGCTGCCGCTGCTCTCTGGGAGTTTGGGGGGCCCTCTTGGAACCCTCTTGGTAACCCTTGGGGGGGTCCCCAATTCAGCTCCCCCCCTCAGAAGCCGGCAGCCCGCTTCTTTGGGCTCTCTTGGAGCGCTCTTGATGCGGTCTTGGGAGCCAGCTTGGGACATCTGAGCCATCTTGAAGGTCATTTTGGGCTCTCTGAGGCCGCTCGGGGGCCTCTTGGGGGCCTCTCGCGTGCCTCTTGGGGCCCTTTTGGGGCCCTCTTGGAGCCCTCTTGGGGCTCTCTTGGGGCTCTCTTGGGAGCCCTGGGGCGCCTCTTGGGGCCATCTTCGAGGCTATCGATCAGAGGAGGGAGGGTCCCGATCGAGGTTCCCGCCACGATCCTCGTGAGGGTTGTCAAACATTGGCCCTCCCAGGGGCCGAACAAGGGCCCTCCAACCACCCGCGAAACCTCCCAAAAAAGTCCAGGGGAGGGGGTGGGGGGAGGGGTAACCCCCTCCCCGAAGGGGAAAAGGGTTTTTGGAAGAGGAAAGAAAGAAAATAGTTAGACCACCTACTCCCAGAGGGCTGGTGGGATTGGGAGTCTGTGTCATATAAGCGGTGTTTCGCTCCTCGCATTGATGTTCGTCGTCGTCGTCGTCCTTTTCTCGCCTCTGCCTCCTCCTCCTCCTCCTCCTCCTCCTCCTCCTCCTCCTCCCCTGGGTTCAGGAGTCGGGCGCGTCCCTCTACAAGAGGACGCTCCAAGAATAGTCGAAGCTTGGTCTGGGGACGACTCTCATCGATCCTCTTTTGTTGACTGTGTCGGAGTTCTTGTGGGCTGCTCTCTTGTCTCTCCTGGGACGTCCGCCCGCGGGAGGCCATGCCCGACCTGCCCGGGCCTCGCTCCTCCCTGTCGCAGGGAGGTGATTGGAGGGTGAAAGAGGGGGTCTGCAACAGGGGGTTTTCAATGGGGGGTGAATGGCCCATGTATGCTCATTGTATCGTTCATGTATGTGATCGGGTACGATTGGCATCCAATGTTGGCGGTCATTGAGGGCCAGTCGTTCGTGCCCGCGCTTTGCCCGCGCGGGCACACGCGCCGTCCATTCATTGTCGTTCATGCGTGCGGTCGTTCTTGCATATTGCGTGTGGGGCGGCGGAAGTGAGGTGCAAGTGTGTCCTGATTGTGCGATTGATGATTGTGTATGTTCCTAAACGATGACTTCTCGACCCCCAAGACAGATTTGGAATGGGTCCCGCGTTTCTCCCAAAATGTGAATTCACAGTTTCCCTTTTCCCGAAATGTGAATTCACAGTTCCCTTTTTCCCAAAATGTGAATTCACATTCTGGCCCTTTCATAAAGAATCCGGCACAACATTCCACATTGTGAATTCACATTGTCTTTTTTCCAAATTGTGAATTCACATGTTCCTTTTCCCCAACATGTGAATTCACATTTTGCTTTTCCCCACAATATGAATTCACATTTTACCATGGCCTTCAAGATCCCCAGAACTGAGGCGCAGTATTCCGCATGTCAGATTGGCTGGGCAGATTTCGTTTGTTCCAGCCTTTTCATTTTGCGCCCTCAGCGCACGTTGCCTTCGTCTCCTTTCCCAAGCCCCCCGCCCCGTTGCGTCCTTTCCCCTCAAGTCTCGCGCATGGGTGCAGGCGGGGGGCTTCAATTAGTTCCCCCGCCGAACACAGCAATCGAGGATGTGTCGCCCATTCATGGCCCATAAAGACATCATTGCAGGGACCCGGCGCCCGACCCCCATCTTCACCCTCCAAGCAGAGGCGACACCAGCACCACCGGGGGGCCCACCTCCAGCGAGGAGGTCCACGATGCCTCCCCCTCCTCCTCCTCCTCCTCCTCCTCTTCCTCCTTTTCCTCCTCCTCCTCCTCCAGCTCCTCCTCCTCCTCCTCCTCCTCCTCCTCCTCCTCCTCCTCCTCCTCCTGCCTCGAGGGAGAGGGGGGACCACACCACCAGGGAGACTCCCCTTTCTGGACGCCCGACATGGGTACGGACAAAAAGGGGTACAGTGCCCAACAACAAATGTCGTCCCAAACCGGCAGCGGCCGCCGTTGGGCAGGCGGCCTCCTGTCTCAGATGGACACCGACGGCGAGTCCTGTCAACGAAAAAACAGGAACTGCTGTTGGGCATGGTACCCCCCATTTTTTCCGTGCCCACTTCGGGCGTCCAAACGGCCCTTGCCTCTTCGCACCTCCTCGCCCTGCTGGTGCTGGCGTCGCCTTGCCCTGTTCCCTCCCGCCCCGGCCGGCAGCCAGCTCGTGGTCCTGGAGCGGACTTGGTCGGGCCTCGGCGTCGGGGACGGCGGGCGCGCGCCGCCCCTGGCGGAGCTGGCCGCGGAGGCCGAGGAGGGCGCGCGCGGCGGCGTCGTCGTCGTCGTCGTGTTCGCCGTCGTCGTCGTCGTCGTCGTCGTCGTCGTCGTCGTCGTCGTCGTCGTCGTCGTCGTCGTCGTCGTCGTCGTCGTCGTCGTCGTCGTCAGTCGGCCGTCCCTCGTCGTCGTCGTCGTCGTGGTGGTCGTCGTCGTCGTCAGTCGGCCGTTCGTCGTCGTCGTCGTGGTGGCCGTTGTCGTATCGTCGTGGTCGTCGTTTTCGCCGCCGTCGTCGTCGCTGTCGTTGGCGTTTCTGTTGGCGAGGTCGTCGCCTTGTCCGTCGCCTTTTTCGCCATCGCCATCCCCAGATCTGCCCGCGTCGTGAGACAATCACGACAGAGGTCTTTTCTGGTTTTCGCCTTCCCTGGGCCGTTGCCCAGGTCCAGGGCCGTCATCAAACGTCGCGGCGGGGGAGGGATCAAAGGGAAGGGTCTTCCCTTCGACTCGATTATACGACGTTGCTCGGTTGCCCCCTGGCTGGAACGCTTGAGGAGGAGGGCGCAGGGAAAGGGGGGGAGCAGCGACGGCGACGACGACGACGACGATAACTCAAACAGAAAAGCTTCTCACACACGCCAGAAGGGTCGCACGCCGCGCTGGAGCATGTCGAAGCGGTCGGCCGAGGCCGGTTTCTGGGCTTGTTGGGCTGCAAGGCTGGCGCAGAGCTTCTGCCTACTCAGGCGACGTCGGCGACCGCCAGCATGAACTGCCACCGAGGTGCCAGGGTGTGGGAGCGGTGATCTACCACAGACATAGCTGGCCAGCGGCATTCAAAACTGCAGCGGCTGCCTCTTGCCAGCCGCCTGGGGGCTCTCGGGGCCACCTTGGACAGCCCCTGGCCCGCCGGCCGCACTTCGGCCGCCCGCGGGTTGGATCTCCCGGCCGGCAGGAGGGGAGGAGGGGAGGGAGGACGCTGAGAAGCGTTCCGAACAGACACGGACCAGGAGGGAGGGGCGTGGGCTGTGCAGCGCGCTGCCAGGGCTCTGTGCACGGCGCGCGGGGTTCCCGCGACCCGCAGCCGAGCGGGGGGGGTGCCCGCCGCGTGCCGCAGCGGCTTGCGGGAGGCCTGCGGCGCGCGCCGGCCCGCGGCCGCGCAGAGGTGGGCGCGGGCCTGGCCGTCCGCCGCAGCGCGCCCCCGCCACTGGGAGGCGATCGCGTGGCCCTCCCCGTCGGGGAAGCGGGTCCAGCGGGCTCTTTGTTGCACCGTGCTGGGCTTCCTTGGGGGCCCCCCACGGGCCCCGGGACTGGCAGAAAACGGCTCAGGAGGAAGAACTGGTCCTGGGGTCCTAGCCTTGCGTCGGGCCCGTCCCTCTACAGGATGAGTATTCAAAAATAGTCAAAAAATAGTCCGCGGGCTACTTTTGTAAGTATTTTTTACTTTTTACCATTGTGGAGCATTCTTCCTGGGTATTTTGCATTCTTCGTCGAAGAGCCACCTACAAGGGGACACGCCCGACTTCCTCCTGGCTCCCCGGGTCCAGGACCCGTTGCCATCGGGACCCGTCTCCCCCCCCTGCGCAGCCCCCCGCCTGCCCGCTCCGCGCGCCGGGAGCCGCGCGGCGCGGCTGCGCCGCGGATGCCGCGGCTGTCTGGGGCGCACGGGGGGCATCCTGCACACTGGCCACGGCTGCGCGCCGGGGCGCCCTGGGCGTCTGCGCCCGCGTGGGGCAGGGGGGTCGCGTGGCGCATGCCTTGGATCGGCGTTGGGCCACCCCGCGGTGGCGCCAGCCTTGCGCGCTCCGCTCGGCAGGGAGGTGGTCCCGCGCAGATCCAAGAAATCCGCGTGGACCTCCGAAAGTGTATGCTTTACAGTGGAGGCCCATGCCAAGAAACACCCTGCTTGCCTCCAGGGTGCCCTGGGTCTCTTAGGTATCCGTGGTTTTGCTCTGGAAAGAGTGACGCCCCCAGCAGAAATCGACGGACGCCCTGGGGTCTCAGGGCTGGGTTTCTTGCGGAAGGTTTCTCGCGGACTGGCCTCCACTGCATGCAGCTTTTGCTCCGCTGGGTAAGGGAGCTGGCGCATCCGGAGGCCAGGGGTCGCAGCAGCGCGGGCTTGGCCGCAGCAGGGCGTCGGCCGCGACCTGCGGAGCCCCCTCGGGGCAGCCAGGGCAGCAGGCAAGGGCGGCAGCCGTCACACTGCACCGAGGGTGCTCGCTGCACCACCGCCGTGCTGGCTTCTCCACACACCGCGGGGACTGCACCCCGGGAAGGGGCGAAGACTTCTGGGTCGGGGCTCAGACGGGGGTCAACGCAAACGGGGGTCAGCCAGGGCACCGGATCCTGCAGGATCCTGCGAAGACCCCCTCTGGCTGACCCGGGTTAGCGAGCCGCTCGTGGCCGCGAGGCGGCCGCGCATACTGGCTGACCCGGGCTTGCGAGGACCTGCGTTGCAGTTTTTTTTCTTGCATTGCAGTTTTTTTATTTCCCCGGGTCTGGATTGACCTGGGTCAGAAGATCCCCGACTGGGGCGCGAGGCCCGAAAAAGAGCGCGTGCGGACGTTGCGGGGCGCGCTCTGGTGGCGTCTCTCGTCCACGGCGGCGTGGTCCTTATCCGGGGCGCCGGATGCCAGGGAGTCGCCCCCGAAGATCCGCGCCTCCTGGCGGATTGTTTTTGATCCGCCCCGGAGCTCAGGGTTTGCGGCGTTTTCCGTTTCATGTCAGGAACAATTACGCAGGGTGTCCGGGAAAGCACGCGCGATTTCTTGGAAGCGCCCGGGAATTTGGGGTCTGGGGCCCTTCGAAGAAGCAGTAACAGTATTCAGCAGAGGTTGAAGGGACCTGAGGGCATTTCACTCAGTGTTGACAGTCAGGCAGCCAGCCAGGCTACTAGCAGAAGGAACGCCAGAAAAGCAACAGAGCATCTTCTGGTTCCAGATTCGCATGGGTGCACGAGGAGCGCTAAACGAACAATTGTGGAAAAGACCTCAGGAACATTGAGCCCCTTCCCAACATGGAGCGTCTTGCTGTGCGGCACGGTGGTGGCTTTGGGCCTTTGGAGGCCTTTTTCGGGCCCCAGTGCGATCAGACGGCCATCTGGGACGGAAAGCCCACCTCCCGAGAAGGCGTCGGGAGCTCCGGGGCCATCGATGAGAGAAGGATTGGGCCCACATGCTCGAGATCGCCATGTCATTCAGTGCAGCTGCCCAGAGAGCGCACAGCAGTTGAGCCTGGCCAGTCGTCGAGCCCTGGTCGGTCGCCTGGTAATCGTTCTGTTTCCATGGTTCCAGCTCTGTCGAGCTCGATCGGTCGCAGGCATCGCGAAGCACGATCAGCATTGGCAGCATTCGGTCGAGATTTTCAGTTGGCAGCGTGTTCAGGCACTGCCACCAGACGGCTGAGGCGCTCTGTTTCCGAGGGGGTCTGGGGAATTACGGCTCGTCGGATGTCCACGCCGTGCGATACCTCCTTTTTTCTTGCACCTCTTCTTCCTTCCCTCCTCTCAGTCCTTCCCCTCACCTGACACCTCCCTTCCTGATATCTCCTCTTCCTCCTCTTCCCTCCCTCCCTGACACCTCCAATTCTTCCTGCACCTCCTCTCCCTCCCCTCCCCGATACCTGCCTTTTCCCTGCACCTCTCCCTGCACCTCTTCCTCCTTCCCTCCTCGCAGTCCCCCGCTCTCCTACATCTCCCCTTGGGCAGCCCCGTCGACCCCCATCCGCCCTCCCTTCTGAACGCCTCCCTCCCGCTCCTGATTCTTCTTGTCGACAGGAGCCCAGGGACACACAAATAAATGTACACTCAAATCCTAGGATTCCCCATGTCTTCCCATATTTTTGGGGTTTTCGTTCTCCCCCCCCAATTCCCATATTTTCCCATATTTCCTTAGGAGTCGACGATGATTTGTGTCCGTGTGTTTCTTTCCCTCCTGATTGTCATCCCTCGGGAGGAGAAAGTGGAGCATGTGTGAAGTGGAGGGAAGACGGCAGTCCAGAACGTGTGGAAGAAGATGGGGAAGCCTGGGAGATGTGCCTGTTTCTTGTTGTGTCCCTGGACCCCTCGATCTCCCTCCTCCTTCCGTCGCCCGCGCCCCCTTCCGTCGCCCGCGCCACTCTTCGATCTCTTTCCGTCGCCCGCCTTCCGCGCCCAGAGGCACCAGGAGGCTCTCGAAGGCCCCCTGTATACAGAAAAATCAAACATCGGATCTCCGATCCATCCTCCCGCCTTTCCTCCCTCTCAGCGGCAGCGATACAGGTGGGGGCGCGCATCAGGAAACCAAATGCTTTCCGTCAGGGTATCCTGGGTTTCTTCGCTCCTCGCGCTGCGCGGTGACTTCCCGCGGCCGTTGAAGGAGCTGCTGCGTTCAGGGTGCTCCGGGTTTCCTCACAGGTGCACCTCGCGCACGGGTTCTCAGGGTTGGGTTTTTTGCGACCGTTTTTTGCGGTCGCGCCCACACTGTATGGGCGGACCCGCACAGGGGGGGGGGGACGCATCGACTCCTAATCGCCCACTCATCGCGGATGGGGGCCCGATAGCCCATCCTGTCTTGGAGCGTGCGGATTCGCTAACTCCGTCCCCGTGATGAGAAGGAGCCACCCCTAGGGTCGTGTATGTTTATTCTCTGCGGCCTGGTCATGGCTCCAAATTGGCGCCAGAGCTGGGGAGGTCGAACTTTCGAAGCCCCCAGCTGACTTTTCCTAATCCTCTCCTTCTCCATTCCTCCTTCTCCTCCTCCTCATCGTCCTCTTGTCCTGCTTAATGTGTTGCCCTCTGGCTTCCGCTCCTCCTTCCTTCCTTCGCCCCTGGACCGAACTTTCATCCCCGGTTGTTGATCACCGATTGCAGCGACCATTAGTCCTACACGCCGAGCTGAAAGCCATAACGAGCCGCTGCGTTTTTCACATCGAACTTGATAGGTCCGGATCTTGTTTTTCTGTTGTTCGGGCAATCCTCCTCCTCATCTTCCTTCTCCTTCCTCCTCCTCCTCCTCCTCCTCTTTCTTCCTCTCCTCCTCCTCCCTCCTCCTTTCTCTGCATCTGCATTTCCGTTCCTTATTCCTCCTCTCTTCTTCTTCCCTTCCTGATCCTTTCCTCTTCTCCTTTTCCTCTTGTCTTCTCGTCTTCCTCGTCCCACATCCCACATCCAGGCATCCCAACATCGATACTTCTGGAAGCAGTTCATGATCCTCCCAGAACCCCGAAATTGATCATCTCCATGGGAGTATTCACTCGGGCACGGGGTTATTGGGGGCCTACCTCCGATCCATCGGCGATGTATCGTCGATTCCAGGTCGATGTTCCCCACCCCCCCTTCTTGCCCCCATCTCTCGCGCGACTTCTCGTGCAAACGTTTGGTGTTTCATTTGAGCTTGCCACAATTCCGCATCTCGTGGAGAGTGGCCTTCGTAGAAAGCCGGCGCGTGACCAGCGCGCCGTCCTCCCCTGCAGGGATGCGGGCTTCCGGCGGCGGCAGCTTCGCTCGTTCGTTCGATGCCATTCACCCTTCCCTCCCCTCCCCTCCTGGCGGCGACCAGTTTACGGCCCAGCCTTGGGGCCAGCATCCCAGGCGTTTGGGAACCTAATTTAGGGATCGTCTCTGGGCCTACTAGACTTTCCGTTTTTGTTCGTTTGCCCCCCCAAAAAATCGAACCAGGCCCCAACGGAGTAACTCTTTTTTAATCATTTCCCTCCTGGCGACCTCCGAGGGCATCCGCTGGCCGCCGAAGGCCTGCGCGGAGCGCCGCGGGCCCCCCGAAGGGCCTGCCCCCCGCAGGAGGAGCGCGAGGAGCTGCGCGCGCAGCGC